GGTTGCCCACTCAGATATGGGTATCCAATAGAAATAACGTTTAAATAATAATATATATACGGATAGCGGCTTGGATTGAGGAATCGGAGAGTCGAGTTCGAATTCCATTGGAATCCATTACCTTCACTTACGTGCTAATATCCTTGGGAAAGGTATGAATCTTCTTCCCCCGCCCCCACTAGGTAAATAGCAGGACAGACTGGTTTTTATAGCCTTAGTAGGCAGCTGCTCTAGGAAAAGGACAACTCTAAATTGAAAACTTGCGGAGAGTCGTTTGTCGGTTTAAGAACTGATCTTCTTGACTCTCATACGTCGAATTCGACGGGAGAGTCGAGAGAGAGGGGGAGAGAGAGAATATATATATATATATATATATATATATATATATATATATATATAGTTAATAAAAAAAGAACACGCTACCGCCCTTGTCTAAATGATTGGATTTCTCTGTATCCTTGGAAACGAAAAATTATTAATTGTATGTGCGTTTAAAACTCAGTAAATTTAAAAATAAGTTAATTCCAAAATTCGCTTGAAGATAAAACAGAACTAATACTTTTAATTTAATTAAGTAAATTTGAAGTTTTTAGCTTCAGTTTTTGAAACATTGGTAATTCCTATGTAGCGAAGAAACCATATTTTAAATCAGTTAATTTATAATATTTATGCTCTGTAAATTTACATTTAGGACTATTTTGTAAAAATAAAAATATCACTAAGAACACCGGATTATATATCTTACTGTTCTTTTTTTTAATTATAATATATATCTCACACACACACACACACACATATATATATATATATATATATATATATATATATATATATATACTTTTATATCAGCAATTGTGAAACTGATATCTACTTGTCTATAGACAGAAAGGTTTATTAAGTAAAATGTGCCTCCCGACAAGACATTAATTATGTCCATAGTTAACTGAGACTTTTGCACATTACTGAACTCTATTAGGCATATAGAACATGATTATAATTACAGCTGAGATGAATCAGCTCGTTAAAATTAAATTCAAGGGTGGTGAGTATAATTGTCAGAACCATTTGTGAGTAAAACATTGATGAAAACAGCTTTGAACATGAATAAGTTTTATAAAACCTGAACATGTAAGATAAAAGTACAAAAACATCTTAAAGTAGAAATATATATATTTTTAAATAATGGTAAGTGTACTGACTATAACGAGCTTCAAAGATCAAGCCTTGAACCAGACTTGGTTTTATCAAAATAAATAGAAGCCTGCACGTAGAAAACATAACCGGACAGCAAGCGGTTCTCCACTTTTTCATTTGAACTGAAAAATTATAAACAAAACTTTTGCCTTTTACTGGATGAATCATATTGATAATAATAGGTGCATAAGGTGTGCCAAATATGGGTGGATTTTAATTCTCTCAAAATGATTTTTTCTTTTTATAGCGATGGGTGCAGAATAGTGGAGAAAAAGGCGTCTTTTAGACCATAATTTGCATTAATTGCACTCATACTAATATGCAGAAATCCTTGTGATGTTTTCCTCTTTTCCTTTCTTTTATAACAATCAAAAATTATTAAGAATATAAACTATTCATTTGATTTAATGGTAAATAACTGTTTTCCAATAAAAAGTTCCAAGTTGGAATTCTATTCGGGGAAAAGAATTTTGGCTGCGTTTGGCAAGTAAAAAAAAAAACGGGAGTGCCAACTCAAACACCTGTATTGAGTAAAATAATGCTTAAAAAAATAAAAAATAATGGCAGATTAAATCCATGAATATATATATATATATATATATATATATATATATGTATGTGCACAAACGCTCTCTCTCTCACACACACACACACACACACACACACACACACACACACACATATATATATATATATATATATATATATATATATATGTACATTCCCTCACTGAGAGTTGCACTACCGGTGCGGAAAAATGTATATTTATTATTAATACATAATTTATGGCCCTGTTATTTTATATCAAGCACTATTACAATAACATATTAACATCGATCACTATTTTAATAACATGTTTGACATGAATTTTATATGTTGGCTCTCATTTAGTAATTTAGTAAATATTTATACATTTATAAATAAAAATATCTTTTTTCTATTTATTTCTTTATAAACTGAGAAATGATAAATATTGCATTGCATTAGTTTGAAAACAATTCAGTTTTTAGAATGTTGTAAATATACAATTATTCTTGTAAATAAACAATCTAATAAATAAATCGTGTTCAAATATTTTTGTTGTAAATTCTCAAGAACAAAAAATGTATAACTTTATATTCGACATATGTTTAAGTTTTATTACAATTGAAATTATCGCTTTTTAAAACATTAAACATTGTTGTCCAGGAGTGAAGGTAGTTAAAATAATAGCAGTGTCAAGGAAAAAGAAGTCCTTTTGACACTTCAGTTTTTTTTTTGTGGGGGGGCACGTTTGCTGATATTTTTATATTAAACATAAAACATATTTCAACTAAAGCAAAATCATATTAAGTTTTGCAGATAAAAGTTTGAGGCAATTGTTTCATGTTGCTGTTGAGTATGAAGGGCCCTACCTATGAAGGGTGTGTCTTACAGAGGAAATGTGACCTTGTTAAAATTTTATATCAAGCCCTTCTCTTCCAGGATGTCAGAAAAATTGCACTTTTTCTTTTTGGCTTTTCTCCCTCCACCTCTTCACAGTGCTGAAAATAATTATGATGCAAGTCACTATCACCTATCACCTGGTTATATCTGTGAGTGGGTTTTAAGTAACGCTTGAGAATTCAGTTATTTCTTCCTCTTTATCTGTCAGTATTTCTTATGACAATACAAAGTAGAATCCCTGACAACCGGACTAAGAAGGCCTTCCGGATATGAGGAATTGGTTACAAAGTCCGGATATGAGGGGTTATATTTAGATTAAAATAAAAGAACTGAAATCAGGTTTAACATTTATTTTCAATGTTTTATAGTAAATAAAACAAGCTAATGGTGAGTGAAATATAACGGAATTGATTTTAAGGAAAAATAATTTATGTAATGTTAATGAAAATTCATTAAATTAAATATGCCACGTATGCAAAACAAATAATTTAACGAGGACTTTTAATCGCTGGTGCATGATTTTTTTCTCTTCTAATGTCATTCTCATCTTTTTCCGCATTTCGTTTTGCTTTTGTTTTAGAAATTTTTTAAACGGAAGACATTTTTAACTCTGCGTGCGTTATTGCAATCGTCATAGCTGAATGCTGGCTTTCTTTCCATAAAACTGATAACCTTTTCAATAGCTTTTTCAATTTCAGTCCAGGTTACATCACAATCATGTTCTTTTATTTCCTTTTTAATTGTGATAATGTGAACGCTGGAGAATAGTTTCTTTGGAAGAATGTTGACTTTCCTATGTTGAACTCAGTCATTAGTTACAATGAACTTTCACCAGCGTCTAGTGTGTTTAAAATTTCCATTTTTGCGGTAACTCCAAAGTTGTTCTTTGCCTCTTATTTCCATTATCTTTTGCACCCATACAAGTCATTAGGGTAAAATAAACATAAGCAATTATCCAAAGAAAATTTCCCTAAAAACAGAAGTTTCAAATCAGATACGTATCACTCAAGTAGTTGAAATATACACATCAAAATCATGTCCGGATATGCGGCACTCCGGATATAAGGCATTCCGGATATGAGGGATTCCGGATATGAAGGATTTTACTGTATTTAGTAAAAACACGTGTTTGAGTAGACACAATGACACACTGGCATTCACATTTATTATATATATATATATATATATATATATATATATATATATATATATATATGTATGTATAGGTTGTATTTCAGCAGCAATAATTCTCTCAAAGGTGTTTGGTTAAATAATATGGGCAAGTTCTCTCTAGCGATTTTTTTTTAATATTTAATTTTGAAAATTTCCGATTTAGGTGTTATGTGTTTTTCAGTAAATTTGCCAAAGTTCATATTTGTTTTTTATTTTATATTATTTTCTTCCCGAGTACTTTCAAATGTTGTTACATTTGTTTTTTTAAGGCAATTCTGCGGATATTCATGCAACTGTTTTTATTTTTTAATTCCAACATTCTCACGTTTGACGGAACCAATTTCATGTCACTTATGATGACATCATATAAATGGTCAAAAATGAATTTTTATGTTTTTTCTTTTTATCACACTTCAATATACAGCCCCAATGGAGAAAGTTACCTTATTTAATATTGGCTGTTTCTAATTCATTATAACACCCTCCAGAATTTGGAGTCTTTCTTTGTAGCGTGTCATATGTAAATTACTGGTGTTATCTACAGTTGCCTAAATATTTACAGAACAATTATCTGAGTTTGAACTTTGACCGTCCCTTGCATTTTGCATATTGCTAACAACAGCTGACATAGTCAATGATTAGTTTTAAATAAACGAATGTTAATATAGGCGAGTAAAAAGATGTCCCTTTTTTGTAAATTAGCTGCAAATAGAAGTTTTTGGTTCTAAATTGATTCGTGACATCCTTGGGATACCTCAGAGGTCAACACCACCTATCCCAGTTGGGTCTTATTCAGTAATTGTCACTCCCCAGGTACCAGGCATTTTGCCAGCCATAAGATGCATAAAAGCAAACAATTATTGGTTTTATAGTAATAGATATGTAATTTAAAGGCCCTGACCTTGTTGTTCAGTTGCTACTATGCCCAGACTCAAAGCAAAAAGTAGTGACCAACAGAGTAAGATACCAATTATCACCAGAACTGACCTCTTCCTACTCCACCTTCCTGGCTATCAAATGTTTTCCCTGAGCTGTTTGTCGGGTGTAGATTGTTATTTTAAGTATTATTACAGGTCCAGGTTTGAGGTGGAAATAGGAGGTCATTGGGGAGAAGGAATTGCTGAGTAAGATGGCAACAATTAGATTTTTTTACCAGTTGTTGGTCATTGGTTGTATTTACAGGATCGGTGACATCATTTTTATTTTAAATGTCTTTTTCATTCCTCGGTTACTTTTTACTGTTCTTTCTTTCTTTCTTTCTTTCTTTCTTTGCCTCCTTCTCGCATTCCTCTATGAGTTTCATTTTTAACTTACCGCTTTTTCTTCTCACTGTGGAACTAGTTTCTTTTTATTCCTTTATTTCTTCTTCTCTTTCAATACCTCTTTTCCTTTACTCTCTTTTTTTCTTCTTCCCGTTTCTTTCTTCCATTTTTATCTATTTCTCTTCTGTTTCTGCTTCTCATTACTTTTCTTCCTTCCTCCATTTCTTTTTTTGTCTGTCTTTCTTCCTCTTTTTCCTTTGTTTTCCTTCCTTTCTTCTTTCTTTCAATTATATGCCTTTCTTTCTTCATTCTCCTCTTTCTTCTCCTTTTCTTGTATTTCTTTCTTTTAATCATCCACTTTTATCCTTTCGTTCTTTTCCTGATTTTCTTTCTTTCTCAGCCTTTCCTCTTCTATTCCTTTCTTTTCTTGCCTTTCTTCTTTCAACCCTTTCTTTTCCTCTTTTTCTATCTTCCACTCGTTCTTTCCTTTCCTCCTTCTTCCATTTTCCTTTCCTTTCTTCTTTTCTCCATTTATTTTTATTTGCTCCCATATTCTCTTTCTTCCTTCCTTTCCTTGTTCTTTTCCCCATTTCATACGCTCTTTCTTTCTTATTATAATTGTTAAATACAAAGGGGAACAAGCTCTTCATCATTGGTTGGCATATGGATGTCATGCATGTCGCCTAGCCTCTTCCTAAATATCTTAACTGTATACAAGCATTTTCTCCGATCAATAATTAAAAATAGCTTCCAGCGAATGAGTCTTGTAGGTCTTAGTGACTACCATCCTTCTTCAAAACTTATGGATTGACGCTACAGAATCGTAAACAAAGAACAGTGCCAAATAATAGAAACAACATTAATTGCGGACTGCCAACAGCATTAACAAATAAAACGGATAGCACGTGTAACGCAAAGAGTAAATAATCACATAATGTAGATTTTGTCATTACACACTAATTCGAATTAGTGTGAGGAAGGAAACACTTATCAGTACTGGAAAGAGCGATAACAGTTACTGGACTTGAGAGACCTATTTTCTTGAAAAAATACCTCCCAGATATACCTACTAGATATGCCCCCCCCAGATATACATCCCGCATATATATATACCAGAAATACCTCCCAGATATACCTACTAGATATGCCCCCCAGATATACATCCCGCATATATATCCCAGAAATACCTCCCAGATATACCTACTAGATATACCTCCCAGATATACATCCCGCATATATATCCCAGAAATACCTCCCAGATATACCTACTAGATATACCTTCCAGATATATATCCCAAAAAATACCTCCCAGATATACCTACTAGATATAACACCCAGATATACATCCTGCATATATATCCCAGAAATACCTCCCAGATATACCTACTAGATATACCTCCCAGATATACATCCCGCATATATATCCCAGAAATACCTCCCAGATATACCTACTAGATATACCTTCCAGATATATATCCCAAAAAATACCTCCCAGATATACCTACTAGATATAACACCCAGATACACATCCTGCATATATATCCCAGAAATACCTCGCCTATATACATCTCAGAAATGCCTCTTAGATATACCTTCTACATGGTCCGTCCAGAAATACCTGACACATAATGGTAAGACATTATTGGTAATTGTGTCTTCATTTAGCTAATGGCTTAAGAGGTAGTTCTGGGAGGTATGCGTGGGAGGTATTTCTGCCCTTACCCTGTATCATATGAATTCTTTGATTTCAGAACAACGTTGTTTAGAGTTACAAAGGATAGGAAGTTATGAAGAGCCATGATCATCAAAGTTCTGAAGGTACTAATCATATGAAAGAAGAACTATTTGAATGACATAAAGAATTCAAGTATAAATAAATAAAAAAAATTCAAATTGACCTCTCCCGGACTAGGTACATACAAAAGTCTGTGACACAGGCCATAGAGTCTAAATCTATTGATTATTTCATAGGAAAATATAAATCCTAAAATGCTTGAAATTCTATTTACTAACTAGATAAATAAAAAAGGAGACCCCTCCACTAATAAAAAAAAGGAATTCATGCGTTCCTCCACACCTTTTCTTCACAAAAATTCTAAGGACTTGAGCGATCTTTCCTCCCCTCAACTCACATCTTCCACACCCATTCATCGCCTTTCCCTTCCGTTTCAGTATTTGCTTTCTACTCTCTTCTCTTCCAGATATATATATATATAAAAAAAAGGTTTTTTGCTTAGTGATTATATTAAGAAAAGTGTTGGGGAGATGTTTTATCTTGTTTTTTTTTTGCCTTTCTTCTTTTCAGATAAGGATATAGTTCCCTCTTGCTTTTGACCACATCTCTTTTCCACACCCTTTTCGGTCTTTCGCTTGTCCTATGTCTTCCACTCCTCTCCTTCATCTTCTGCCCTACCTTTTTTTTTCATTTACTTCCTACTATCTTCCACTACTTACCTGTCCCAACAAGAAATAGCAGGAAGTGAATATTATTAGGTTATGCTATATGCATAACAATTCTCCCTTGACTTGAAGAAGTTAACACAGTAGTATATAGGAAAGCATCCACGCGGTAGCATGTTCCAAAGCATATATATTTAAATAATTTTCTTTGAGCGTGATGCCTTAGAAGACAAAAAAAAAAAAGAGTTTGTAAAAAATGGCAAAGATGAAAGTCGGATTTTAAACAGTGGATGCCAGGGACAGGTAAATAGACATGAATCCATTATCTGTCTATATTTCTGAGATGAGGTATTATGTACACTATTTACATTATTCGGACTATTGTCCTCATCTTTGTCGCCATATTTAAATACAACGTTTCGGCCTTTGTACGCTCCGGCCTTCTTCAGGTGGTTGGAATGTCGAACTTAACCCTTTATTTCGCTCCCTGAGGTAGACTGTTCTAGTTCCACGTACCATGTTTAATGGATGTCATTTATCAGTTATCTCCTGTTAATTTCCCTCTGAAAGTTCTCCACTGCCTTGAGGACACATGGCACAGTGGATAAAGGCGTTCGTTAGATCCAGTGACAGGACACAAAGAGTGTGAGTTCAATACCCGGTGATGTCTGGATTTTATGAAAATGAACACAGCTAGCCAGGTCAAAATTTGAACTCGGCTCGCCGATTCCACTTGATGTGCTCATAAATTGTTGGATTACCGCCTCCCACTCCCCCGACGATAATCACAGGCTGCACGATATTTAAAAAAATCTTTTCCTCTTTTCCTTTTGATTTCGGAGCGACAAGACACGTTTCGTTTCGCTCCGATAGACACGCAGCATATAAGTAATCCAGAGACACAGACTGAAGATTGTATTGAACTGTTCATAACTTCAAATTCTTTTCTTTCTATATCCTTCTGTGACATGTCTTTTTAGTCCATTTATTAATTATTGTTTGTTTGAATTCCATGTTTTGTGTCCTTTTCTATTAGGATCACATGTGTCCTCCAAATATTGCTTGCCGGATGAATGTAGCAGGGGGTGCATAAAATGATAATACTTTCCATTCCAGCATCAAAATTTTTTACAGTTTAAAATTGTCCCAGATATGACGATAAACTACATCCGGCAGCAAGGCCTATGATAGGAGGTTTTGAGAAGCATGGAAACACCTCTTAATTACTTATGTTCCTAGGTCCACCCTGACCCGGGGTGGTAGCACCTGTTAGGGTCTCAGCTATGGGCAAACAGTGAACCCACAGAACAAAGACAAAACTATGAAAGTATAAAAATAGATCTTATAGTAAAACTATAAACAATACTTATTTATAGTAGAATTGTCAACAGTACATTTTATAGCAAAATGACCAGCAATGCATTTTATAACAAAATGACCAACAATACATTTTATAGCAAAAAGACCAACAATACATTTTATCTGTAGTTGAAGGCATATAATTGCATTCAAAATATATATTGTTGAAGCCATAAAATTCTGTTCTAAATATTTACATTTCAGCATTAAATAACCCATAGAGGTTGATATGCCACTAAACAAAATCAAACGATCAATACGAAAGAACTCTTGCCAGCAATGCATATTTATAGTAAAATTACCAATAATACATTTTATAGCAAAAAGACCAACAATACATTTTATCTGTAGTTGAAGGCATATAATTGCGTTCAAAATATATATAGTTGAAACCGTAAAATTCTGTTTTAAATATTTACATTTCGGCGTTAAATAACCCATATAGGTGTTGATATGCCGCTAAACAAAATCAACCGCACAAAAATATGCATTGTTAAATAGCATTGTCTGAAAATTTTGTGCTGATATTTTGTTATAATGAAGCTTTTAACAAAACAGTTGTTTTCCAACGGAACAAACTTTCGAAATGAAATCGATTATATCCTGGAGATGATGATCACTTCGGAGTTTAATCAAGTTTGATGATCTTTGAAAAATAGCGTAAATGGACATTGAACGTTTATACAAAACAAAAACAAAACAAAAAAACAAAAAACAAAACAAAAAAAAAAAACGGCGTCCGTCAGACAACACGGTGAAGAGGTCGAAATGTCAGTTGGTTATTGTTGAGTAATTCCGACCGAAATTTTGGAATAATGCCTGGTGTTGCAGTGAGGTTTGCTCTGCGGAACCTGGCAATATTTCAAGAGAAAAGTCGGCTAACCATTTTACAGGATCAGTTCTGATAGGAAAATCAAGAATTTCACATTTTTTACTCGTATTAAAAACGGCTATGATATCAAAGATAAGGCAAAAGTCCTCACAATAGACAGAGAGCATTTCGAAAACCCAAAATGAAAATTACAAAAAAAAAAAAAAGAAAAATAACTAAAATTCAAAATCAAAGCAAAAAAAAAAAAACGAATGAGTACTGCAAATGACGGGAATTTCCGTCATTACAATCCCCTGGGTCAAGTGAATAGGAAAGAAAAGGTTATTAATAGGGGGGTGTCTTGTGTTTTTTCTTTCTTATTACTGTTTGCTAGTTAATCGTGTTCTTCGAATCTGTTTCAGAATCTCAGAATTTAGAGGTGAATGCAAAATTTCATATATATATATATATATATATATATATATATATATATATAACCGATAATATGATGAATAATTAAGTCATTAATTATTTATTCATTTATATTGCTCTGTATATAAATTTATACATGCAGCTCTCATCATGAATTTAACTTTTAATGTTTTTATAATAAATAATCCCTTGAAATAATTCCTAGCACCTAGATGGATTTGATATTATATATATATATATATATATATATATATATATATATATATATGAAAAGAGAGAGAGAGAGAGAGAGAGAGAAAGAGAGAGCGAGAGAGAGAGAAATGACATAGGAATCATAACTCCAAGGTGACTGTCAGTTTTACACCTCAAACGATTTTTAGACCAAAACTGTTTATATCTAAAAACACTTTACCTCTTTCGATAATGAGCACTCTTTCTCCATAAGAAAATATAAATATTAAACAATATATATATATATATATAATGCAATAAACATTATATTTAGTGGTTTCACGAGTTTGAGTAGACATATCACGGGAAATTCGTAGTTTAAATGCAGTAATTCGACCTTCCTCTGTAGCTAAATAGTATAGCGCGTCAGGCTATATGACGGTGC